CGCACACGCATCCCTTTCCAGGTTAGAGAAACTGTTCATCCACGTGGAGCCCCGGCTGGTCCAAGTAACCATTCTTCAACTATGGCTTTTATAGAACGACTGCCCATTTTGGCTTTAAGATAAAGTGACAATTTCACTCCTGCCTCAATCACTCAGTACGTGTATAGGCGTCCAAACCACCCTGCCGTTTTGTTTATCGGGATTGAGCTATGAACTAATTCGAATGGAATAGACTTAACAATTTTCTTGCTTTGTATTACTCATTTCAATCAGTAGCAATAATTTTGTGAACTGCGTTTCATCTGTTACCGAAAATTTATGTAATGAACCATGCAATATTTCGCCTAAGAGATTCCCTGAAATTTTGTGTAATAGACATAATGCAACGTTGCATCATAAGTCTTTAGTTGAATTTCAGATTTAAAGAAAAACTATTTCTCGGTGGATAACGTAATGAAATTATCATGGAAATTTATTTTCTATTTCATCTGCCTTTATTAATCGTTCTTTAAGCCCTATTCACTTTAATCCCTGGTATTGCGATTTTTTGTTAAATTTCCTTTTGAATTCGCTCAAAGCATTAATAATCGAAGAATTGAAGGCAAACGAAGTCGCCACTTGACCCATTCGTTTGCTTCTTGTCTACCAGTAAATCACCGTTTAAAGGACTTCGGCCAGATAAGTCAGCCTGATGTGCAGCAACTGAACGTATTTGATACCTCTGAAAGGGCGATGTGTTTTCCTGTCAAAGTCAGTCGCAAGATAGCATTTTAACCCCTAATATTTTTAATTCAACTTCCGAATAAACAGTCACCATTATTTTTATAACACCAAGCTATGCCTGCGTTTAAATTCTCTTAAAAACCAAAGTTCATCATTTACATTTTACTATATTTATCGACCCCTTTTGTCAACAAGTGTGTCCTAACATCCAGCAGTAACCCAATTTACATAAATTTGAAAACAGCATTGAATAATTTCATAACACCGTGTGTGAAGGAATGATAATATGTTCGAATAACAGTCAGCAAGAAAATCGTTCCGCATTGGAACATTCAAGCTCTATGTTTTTCGGTGTTCCGAAGCATAAATTGTCTATTTCGGACTAAAAACAGAAAGAAGTAAACTGTCAGGTTCTTAGGACTTATGAACGCGTCGAGTGGTTTGAACCTTTGGCTCGTACCCTTCTAATCTAACATGGCCGGGCCCATGATATGGCGAACTCACAAATGTTGGTACCCTGCAATTATGTTAAACATATGGATGAGAAAAGTATTTATACCACGCAACACCAACGTGCCACTTCTCATTACCAACACATTTGTAGTAGTTTTCTTCTAATAACCATATTTCAGTTATTGTCGGTCAGCAACTTTTCATGAGACGTGATGGTAACTATTCGCGGATATTTTCGAGTTTGATAACTCGATGGTTGTAACTCGTCTCTTAGTGGCCTCTATTTTATTACTTGAATGCACATTGTAGATAACGCTAACATGTGTTCTGATACACTAACAAATGAGAATTACAAACCACTGAAGCTTAAAAAGCAGGCATTTCTCAACTTTAGCCTTATCCATCTCCTTTTTCGTCACCCAATCTTTACGTTGGTTCTTGATCCTTATGTAAAAATAAGCCACATGTCGAAGCACATTCCCAAAAACCTAAAAAGTATCTGGCAACCAGTCAGTTTGTCAAAGAAAACCATTAAGTTGATATCGCCAAAAAGACATTAGGTAAAATAATATTCTGATAACTAAAAGGCATAAAAACTGACAAGGTGTGCTATGCATGTCACATCTGTTTCTAATGAAGCTCGTACCTAAAAACTGTATATTGTTATTGACCAAATGGGCATCGTTTTTATCCGATTTATGTTGGAGTCAAAAAAATTTCATAATAATGTAATTTCATAAATACACATATTATTAGTTAAAAATATGCAATCAAATCATATTGAAAAATGGATCCATTTTGCATCATAAAGTTACCACCTGACAGGGGAAAGTCTTAAAAATCAGTGAAAAACCCACATGGACACAGGGTCGCTCGACTAAGCAGTATTGTTTAGGTATCACTCCATGCTACTAGCTGTTTTCTTTATATTTTTATGAGTAATTCTGTTAATTCACAAACTGTACCGTCTCTACTCTTACGTTTCCACAGTTATTCAAGGTCCAATTCAAAATATTTCAATGAAGGCGGAAAAACAACTTTTTCACTTATGTTATGAACCTTATTTACCCTAAGCTTTTTTAATATTAACAAATTTTTTTAAGTTTCAATTTTTGTTTTATTTGCAATTATCAAGAATCAATTTGGTCAATTTTGTTTAGCTCGGCATTGCCAAGCGCGGTCAATTCGTGCTCGTGTGTACCCTCTCGTTACTGCATTTAATCTCAATCCAGCATCATAATATTAGTCGTTTTTGTGTGTACAAGTGGTGTCAATAATATTGAATGTATAGCAACTATAATATTTAAAGTCTGTCATCAAGTAGCTTGAATAGGAGACCCGTACAATTGGTAAACATTCCCTACTTACCTTTAGCATATAATTTATGCTGCAGTTAATAACTGATTTGTGGTACTGTGCGCGATCAAATCAGACATTTTCTACGCGCGTTTTTTCTATGGCCTTAGTAACGCTTTAGCTGAAAATTATTGCCCTTGGTCTGGCTCTTGCTCAGTACATGTTAATGATGTCGTGGAGCTTGCTCGAGGTGATTTGGGACATTCAAACTTAGAGGTTATGTTTTAGTGCTTGGATATTTTGCCAATTCTATTAAAAGGTGGTGTCCGTTGCTGTTGTCATTCTCTGGCGGTACTTCAAACTAGGCCAAAGAGCTTGTCGAAAGTAGACTTTCATGGCCATATGCACAACACATAGACCTCAAATTTTTTTAGCTTGAATTTGGGAAGTAGAATTTTGGTGGCTGTTTGGTCTATATTTTAACCCTCTATATTGCAGCGTCACTGTAACGAAAAATTATGTTAAACTGGAGATTGCTTGCTCTCGGCAATCGCCTTTCTGCTTCCGCAGTTCCAACTAGGGTCATCGGTGCGATTCGTTCATTCAGCAAAGACTGTGGCATCGTAAACATTCAAGATCCAGAAGATTTCAAAGAAAAAGTAACCAATAATGATCTTCCAGTTCTTGTTGACTTTCATGCTTCATGGTGAGTGCCAATTGAATGCTGTGTGTAATGTGTTAAAAGTTGGGCAGAATCAAAGTCTATTACACTCTTAAGTCTTCATTGCGATTATGATCTTTGTGGCATGATGTAATTCGTTCACGTTAAGATTCAGTAATTCGCAGCTTCGCTTGCAAATTCCACTTATGATCACATCAGTTACCCTCCAGCCTCAATTAAAACTTTGAATAGTGAAATACCGCCTGAAAGCATTGTTATTGAAAGAATCAGTCTGAAGTAATGTGATATTCATTTGAATAGTTAAACGGCTTGCTCTATGGTTGTGGAATGATTGTTGGAAGTACATGGTTTTCTCTAAACGTTTGGAAAGTCAACTTTATAGAAATTACGGATTTGGCAATCTTCCTTTCCTGTTGTGTATTGCGACTAATTTATTGTTACATATCTATGTTGTATGTAGTTATTGCTACATTGTTTCTTCTTTAATTTTTTGTCCTGGTTGCATGTTAATTTAATGTATGCACTACTGTATTCTAAGCAAACCTAGTAACCAGTCTGGTAGTAACTGGGTTACCGTAGCTTCCCTCAATTACTTTCAATATATGGGCTCTGTATTTGCATGTGGACCATTGCGTGTTTTGACTGGTTATTGATGGTCCCAGCGTCAAGTCAATGGAAAAGTCTGTGAATAAATTTATCTGCTGCTTAAATCTTTTTTGTTCAAGGTGTGGGCCTTGCAAGATGCTTGGACCAAGACTGGAAGATGTCATGGCGAAGCACATGGACAAAGTTCTGCTCGCCAAAGTTGACGTCGACGCAATGGAGGAATTGGCCATGCAATATGAGGTGAAACAACCACGCTGTACTTTATTTTCGTTGTCTTCAGTTTGGGTTTCGTAGAATGGGTTAAGACATCCGCTTGTCAGGGTTGAAACTACCTTTTAGAAGCCATGATGTGACTCCAAGCATGAATGGTGGTCTTTGAAAGCGAATCGAACAATTCATCACTGTCGTATCTTTGCCTTGTTTGAAATCTAGGATAACCGTAAGAATGCCTTGTCGTTGTACGTATCTTTTTCCCACAGGTTTCTGCTGTCCCGACCGTGATTGGAATGAAGTGCGGGAAGGAGGTTTCTCGCTTCACTGGTTTAAAAGAAGAGGCCGAAATTGAACGATTTATACAGGAACTTTGCAACTAGAAATTGCTCAAACCTTTGTAGTTTATTAATTTTACTGCCACCTAAAATTGGTTTAATGGACTTTATTATCGAATCGGGTTCTGAAGTAAACGAACAAATTATCCTTGCCTTTTGTAATCGATTTTAGCATGCTTATTCCCACTATGTAGTTTATTAATTTTACTGCCGCCTAAAATTGGTTTAATGGACTTTATTATCGAATCTGGTTCTGAAGTAAACGAACAAATTATCCTTGCCTTTTGTAATCGATTTTACCATGCTTGTTCCCACTATGTGGGTGATTGTGGTTGCTAAATCTAGCATTACGTAAATCCTTGTTCCTCTTGAAACGGACTGGCACTTGTCGGATTTGAGCATCACCATTTGAGTAGCTGGCAAGCCGACTTGTTAGTGCTCAAATTAGCTGTGAACGCTGAGTATTCTGACTGACGTTGGCTCCGTGCAATTTTAGTCTGAGTTCTGTGAAAGAATAATTGGTAACGTCAGTTCGAGCAAGGTCACTGTTTTGCTGAGGCTTGAGAAGTTTAGCAGAATCAAGAGGATTGGGAGGAGACTAGACGAAAAATGCAACTTTTACTCAAAACGACTGATGGTGAACGAATATTCTAGAAGAGGTGTTTAAATAGTGGGAGTCCACTAAAGTATTAGACACAAGTAGCTATTGACTGAGAAAAGTGATCCTGACTTCTCACATTTCTAAAAGTCCTAGTACTTGGAACCTACTTGTGCATTGAAAAACTAAATAGCAAAGAATCGAACGAAGGTTTGTCCAACGCTTTGTTAGTTGTTAATTACTGACTTGCAAAATTTATATCTACGAGCATCGATGCTGACCTTGACGAAGGAGGGAATGGTAGTGGATACAAGGCAACCTAAGTCTAATTCAAATTATCTAAATGATATTGAACCAATGAGCAGAACCCAATGCCAAGTTGAAGCCCTTGTTGAATCAAGCTTATTCTGATAGGGGGAATTGAAAGTCCAATGCCGAAATCAAGTATCAAAGTAATTACTGTTTTTCATTCATTTCTTAAACACAGCCCCTCTCGTTTAAAATCGAGCAAGTAGTAAACAGAGTAGTGTCGTGGAAACAGACATTCAGGATTCTTTTGTTACATGGACATAACTGATGCTTTAGAAGTGAATACAACAGTGTGTCATTTACCTAAGCCACCTTTCCAATCATTCTGAGTTGGGTTGACCGTCACACCCGTTCCTGTTGCCCAATTGCTCGAGCGTGGTCACCACTACCGACCTAGACGTGATTACGCAGACGTGGTTATTCACCTCGGATTACATCAAAAACTCTGAAATTTGTCTCATCGGTTGATTTTCACAGAGCACACACTTCTGCATAGACCAGACTGGAATAGTAAATAACCACTCATTGTATTTATACTACTGCAAAACCGGGCACAGCCGCAATCAAGTTTGCACAACCCACACCAAACAGAACTGTTTTCGGAATTTTGAAAATTGGCTAATCGACATAAAATAATTATTTGTCTCTGAAGGGGAAATCCACTACGTTCTGCTTCATTCCCGTTTAGGAAAAGTAGATTTCATAACTCATCAGATCATCGACAGTCTAATCTCCTCTAGGCAAACAAGATGGGTGTGTGACGGGGGTTGAGGCACATCCAACTAAATAGCCCGTCAAACATTCGGATCGCCCTGAGCAGACTAGTAGAATTGCCACTTCCACAACCTGACATTTAGCTATTAATACTTGGAGGCTGGATTTCGGGGACTAGGTAACTCAGTTAGTTGAGCCTTTCAGTTTCTCAGTAAATGTCAGATCACGATGCACCAGTGCACTCATTCTCGACTCGACTGACCTCGAAGAGTGGGAATCTGTTCTATCAAAATTGAACCGAGGGGGAGGGCACAGCAACGATACGAGCCCACCTCAACAGCACCGGATGAGTGAGTCCAACAACAGGGGTTGCCGACGTCGGAAATCGCCTGATCCACAAACGCACATGCATGATATGTATTCACATGAAGAAACGGAACAAATCAAGTAGACGCAGGTTCACATTGGGAATTGACGCATTTGCTGGTTTAACAATGTACAGGAAGTAGGCTTGTCTTTTTCTCTCTCTAACAGTAAAAATAAAAACAGAACCCGTAATTCAGGTCAATCATAGCTCGTCCTTGAGGAGACTGTAACGGTTGTTTGAGGGTGTGAGGAGCTTGAAGACGGAGGACGCCTGCACAGCCGGCGCGTGTTCCTGGAGAAGGAGGAGGAGAAAAAGGCAGACGACGTGATAAGCATTACGGAATTCAGTCTCCTCACGTGTAAATGAGAAGTAACCAAAATCAAGAGAGGTGGCACAATGGAATTTTGAGAAACAAATTACCTTTCTCCGGTCAGCTGCATCATCCTCCTGGAAAAAAAAGAAACCAATGATGTATGGGACCGCAAGAGTGAAGCAAATAAATTACAAAACATTGAGGATCTGGCTTTGATGAGTTCCGATTTCAGAAGTTACCAAGACTACACTTACTATGCGCACTTTCGCCATTTGTGATTGCGTTTGTTATCAAATAGTAAAGGAAGATTGCTTTGAGACATTGTAAGAGGTAACACAACTATCACAACCAGCAACTTCATCGAGGAAAGTTTTGAAAAACGCCAAACTCAAACACGTGTGTGATTTAACAGCGTGAAAATCAAACTCACAACGGTCTAACCGACCAAAACTAGCTTGGTGACTACAAAACCTCGATAGTAATGTGGAATTGGCAAAACAATCAAGCATTGAGGGCGAACAGAAGGGCCTCTGTAACTACACAAGTTATTTCCTATCCAAATTAACGGAGACAACAATATGGAACATTGGAATAACAGATAGGCAGAAAAGGCATGCATGATTGCACACACACACTGCGTGGGTTTATAACGACCACGTCAACGCATGCAAGTTGGCAAGATTGCTCCAAACAAAAACGGTGTGGAACGGGAAGGGGGCATGCCAGACAACTTACTCGTGTGTCCTCAATTGGGGTGGGTTCCTGGTGAATAAGGAATCGCAAAAATGTACGCTGTGAGGACAAACCAATGGGACATCGGGCAAGTCAAAGTCGGACACCCTACACCCTAATTATTGCCTATAAAAGTCAATCGAAAGGCTAACCATTCTACGATGCATCACTGCGCCTGCCTTCGGGTGTTGACTTACTTACTGCTAGACTGTTGTAAAAAATACGGTCAACTCATTGAATTTGAGTGATCTTCAGCAATCACAAAGAGCACAATAGCCAAGCAGGAAGTCGTAGACTCAGTGAAATCACCTGACTGCTGCAGGCAATTGGGCAAATGATGGCGACTTACATCAGGTTCCGGTTGGCCATGGAATCGTCGGTGAAGCTTGCCCGAATGAAGGTCAGCCACGAAGCCTCGAATGTGGCTCGGATCTCTACAACGAGGAAACGGGAAACCTTGGGTGCACTATTTGGGAAGCCTGTAGAAACTGCGCTTACGATAGACCTAAACTATGGTTGGTAATGCTTGAACGCACCTCTCGCAGACTGCAAACACGTAAATTGAATAAGGCAAATTAGTTGCCTTTAAGATTAGTACCTACGCGGCTATTGCTGAATGCGATACGGGCAAGACTGTGGAGCAGATTCCGACTGTGCGGACATTTTAATTTAAGCCAAATTAGCTGTTAACTAACAATGAGCCAAAGGAAACTAAAACTACTTTTTAGGTACAAGTTTGTAAAAAGGACGCATTTCAAGCGATTAGTTAACTGGCTTGGACAGTAAATGTGACGAACGTAGGTGTATTGGCATCACAACGTCATCACAACCCCCATAATTGAGGGTAACAGTCAATTAATAGCACAACGAAGAGCTCGGTATCGTAAAAAGGGCGTGCCTCTCAAAATCAAAGTGCACTTTTCGCCAGATTCACTGCTCGTCAAGTGCAGAGAGCTCTCAAAGCGTAGTCGGCAAACACCACTTTGCCTGAGTTCAGGCACTAGCTTTAGTAACTGGCCAGTATCAAGGTAAAGAAATGAAGTGCCTGAGACCAGTAGAGAGAAAACCCACCCAAAACTGAAGCTTAAGTGTAATTGTCCACTAGCACCACGGGTGATACGCGATACCAAGTAGAACAGAAGAGTTTGATACCCTTTGGTGCTTAGTAAAAGCTTTACGTAGCGCATGCTCGCTGAATGGTTCGACAAGTGCATCTGTCTTTAAAAGATGCTTTTTCTGGTGAATAGGAGGAACAAGAAAAGCCTGCATGTTCTAGATTTTACACGGTGCTGTCCACCAGGTAAACAGAAAATAACCCAACCTTGGTGCATTTTACGATGGAAGCATTTAATTAGCGAGGGAATACAATTAAATGATTAACATTATAACAACGCAGCCGTCAGTAGTCAAGCGGATGCACAAAGTCAGCTTGAATTGCCAAATTATCAACACAATACAAAATATTAGGTTTACCCAAATGACATTTAGTTTAGTTTCCGAACGGCAAAAAAAGACGTAAAAATCCGTGGTAGTACACACAAGATCCTAGTCAGACGCGAGTGACGCCAGTTAGAATTGAACGGCAACACAAATGCCTCAAGCCTCTCCTCCTGCGTGGGCCAAACATCATGCGCAAAACAGGAGGCGAGCAGTTGGTGGTTTGGGTTTGCAGTGAATCGGTTCGATTCACGTTCCTCCACCCCGTCGCAGCAGCCTCCAACTCACTGCCCCGCTTTCACGGTGTGTCCGTCAGACGTGAAAGCGGGACTGCCTCGTCATTTACCCCTCTGCATGTCCCACAAATACCCACCTTATCCATGTGGTCATTCATGTGGTCTGTACTTTTTAATAATTCACTCAATTGTACCAGTCAACAAGCCGGGAACCTCAAAATGTTTAATCAAGCAGAACCGTGTTTGAATGAAAACTGAGCGAAACAGTTGCCAAAGCGAGCTCACATTGCCTGGTTATCTCTAATTTAGAATTTAGAGATTACGACGTCGTCATTGATTTTCACACCTCGTTTTTACATGAAAAAAATACGTGGGGAAGGAGTGGAAGTAGTTTCCAAACTTGGTACGATTTTATGTCAAATCCGTTTGGTTTGCCGATTGATGCATTCGGGCATCATTATATACCCTGAGTACCTCATTACGACTCCCCCACACACAAAATAGAGAAACTCGTATGTACGTGTAAACAGCCATAAGATTGCACACGTCAGCAGCACTACTTCCTCAGACCATTCAAAACACAACACGATTTACTAACACTAACCAGAGTACGTCTTCTAAGCGTAATTTCCTTGACCTGTCTACTCGACTGTAGCTGGCTTGTATTGCATTAGCTTGTGTTTTGACGAGAATCACCGTGTGTGCAATTGCAGACACGGTGTAGTTTACACTAGCCCATTTTTGACACGGTCGTAAAATTGACAGTTTGCCCTGTTTACGATCTACGCCTTAATTTCCAGGCTAATATAACCCCGATAGAATCGGGGGTGAGTAGGCAAGCCGACTTACCTAAGTGCCTCCTCGATGTCGCCAGCAAACATGAACATGTGCTGGAAGGAGTCGATCGCGAGGATCGGCAGATCGTGCCTCGTCTTGCCCATGTGCAGCAGGGGGTGGGAGAAGACGTCGCCGTTGGCCACCAATAGCATGAAACGACCTGGAAGACAAGGCAACGAAGGGGGTGAGAATGGGGGGGCCATATCGACACAGCCGTGGTTGAGGGGTCGCTCTGGGACAAGGGATCCAGTTTATGTGATTTGCCCTGGTTTTTTCAACCTCCACTCATACACTCTTGGAAGGTCGGCTTGTCGGCTGTTTGTGGATTTTGACGCATTGCGTTTGTTCGCCAACACACAGAATGGAACGCATTGAGATGTAAGCCCCTTTTAAAGAAGGGACTTCTGATTTAGGTTGAACACGAGACTGAAACACACTTAAGTACTCCCCTCTGCACTATTTTTAATGACACGATTTGATAAGAGGAGGCGATTGGGGGGGGGGAGAAACAAGAACACAGGCAGTGCCACGCCTACCCTTGAGATCGACAAAATTGAGCTCCATGAACTGAGTGAACCTGTCAACGATGTTCTGGTCATCCGGGTGGAAGAAGAGAATGAGCAGGGGAAGGCGCGGCTCGGTGATCTCCTCGGCGTTGGCGAATGTCAGCTCGCGAACAAGCGGTGTGCAATGGTCCGTGGCCCACGCACGCAGAGCATCGAAGTCTGCCGTTGGCTCGGCTTCTGCCTCAACAGCCTGAGATCCCTTCTAAAAAACACCCGACTGTGTGTCCCCTTCAAACAGTTATTTGCTCGTGTGGAGTTTAAGGCAAATTGAGATTCGACGGTCAGGTAACACGTTGTTTGTCGCTTCAATAAATATACTGACAGTGAGTTTGGCTTTTGGAATGGCAGCTTACAGCTCAGCTGCCTATGAGTTAACTACGACTAAACTACCAAATACTGAGTAGAAGGCTATGCAGACTTAATGGATGACCTTACATTCAGGAAGTATGATTACATTTCTGACAAAAATTCAAGTAAAGGAAATTCACTGACATACCTTTTTCAACGAAAACTTGATCGAAGATGGTGTCTGCTTCCTAAAATACATCACGATCTGATAGATAAACATGTTTTCTACGTGCCGAAAACCCAAGTCAACACCGCAAGACGCAGAACTCTGTTAATTTTTAAATAGAGTAAGGCTAATAATGAGTAATCACAAGTATTTGTAGCTGAAGATGTTATCTTGGACCTAGCAGAGGTGACCACCCACATGCCCCGACAAGCAAACCAATGTGATAAATACGGATTACTTAAAAGTGGCGTACAGGGTTTTGAGGCGAACAACTTGTTTGCACAGGCGGTTAAAAATAACTCACTCTTCAACAGCATAAAAAGTGCAGTCGGTAACCAGATGGGAGAGTTTGTAGAAGTTAAAGTAAACGGGGTCGCTCCTGTCCAGCTTGGGAAATACACCGAGGATGTTGCGTTCCGTTGTTACATCGGCAAACGACTCCTGTTTCAAAGAAAGATTTGATCTAATCAGCGGTATGTTAAGGGACATAATTCACGTAACCATCCGTAATGAATGACCAAAACTGCACAACGTCTCCGGAGGATTAAAGCAACTGTCAACGCAAAACACAATTGAACTTACTTGGTTTTTGAGGACCTTGATGGGATTTGACGACTGCTCCCGGAGATAGTTCATAAGTGCTTCCTCAGACCGTTGGTTGCGGTACTCGCTACGATACCGATGGCCGAATTTAAAAAGCCGCAGTGTTGGATACTTCGATATGCTGTTTTCCATACAAAGTTCGCCTGGAGTAGGCAATGGGAGAGATTGACATGCACAAGTAGTGCTTTACTTTATTGTAAGTCGTGTTAATTACCAGTAAAACTGCTGTCTTATTCCCTGCCATTCTTACTTGGTCCCTATCGATCTTGCTAAACCGTCTGCTCATACGCCCCTGTGGGTGTACCTTTCCCTCCCCCCACGCTACCCGTTTCATTCATCTGACCGTTCCGCCACTTTTATTTGCACAGGCCCACCCAGACAAACCTTTTTTTAGTCAGACAAGCTTTTATGCGCAGTTGAGCAATTAACACAATTTCGTAAACAATCGTGCCTCTGCCATCTGTGGTCTTCTAATTGGCCTCGCAGGTATCAAGGTGGCGTAGAGGGGCTAGATTAAACTCAGTGGCCATGGCATGGTTGTTTGTCGGGGCCCACGACAAGTTGACTTAATGCTTAAAATACCGACAAAAAAGTAGAGTAACATTGTTTGGCACTACTTGCAAAAGGGACAAATAGTTTAAACTCGACCGCATATCGTCTAGGGGAGTGATGTGTGAGGGGATTTTGAATGACGCGGTGGCTTTTAAGGTAGCTGAAACATCAATCAGGCGGGAGATACCGATCAAATGGAGTAAGCAGACGTGATTGAAGCCGCAACCGACACGGAATCTCGGTTGCGTATTTAAAATTGTGGGGACTGACAACGCTCTGACGTCAGCTGTTGCATTTATTAGCAGTAATAAAAATTGACTTGTTGGGGAACGAAATATAACCTTAGGGGGAGCTGTAAGAAGGATAAAATAAGCGACATTAACAACAAATCGGATTACCATGGTAACAAAAAGCGCTTCAAATGACCTTCAAGCAGTAACTTTCGTTCAGCTTCGAAAAGTCAAGCTTCCAGGTTCACTAGGTAACTTGACTCAAACAAGCTCTGTTAAATTTGCTGGATATCACGAAAACCCGAACGAAAAAAGTCAACAGAGAAATTCCATGCCTATAATCATCCTTTGTATCGGGAGTTTTATCGCCATTTGGCAACCACTTCAGTTCTTATTGGATTTTATGATTAAAGAGAATGAGGCAACGTCAAAATAAAAAAGCTCAAAGGAGATAGCAAGAGGCAATAACAAAAGGTTAAGATTTAGTTGCATGAACCAAAGCAAACCGTGAGCCGAAGCCTAGGCAGGAAATTATTAATGCTTGAAATGCAGATATTAATCCAATCAATAAAATAATCGTCAGAACTTCGGAAGATAACTGAACAAATAGAACATAACGGGCAATGCATAACTAACGGGTAAAAATCAGTGAACTGATTTAACCAAAGCTAAGAGGCGAAATTAGAATGTGATGTACTAAAATTGGACAATTTTGCAAGCAAATAAAATCGATCGACCATTCGGAACCCCCAGAATTATCTTATGCATCGTTGCATAATTCATGGGTTGTCTATCCCTTAATCTTCGGATAAATACTATTGCCATGGCCAAATAAAAATTTCCATTAGATCGTAAACATGAATCAAGCAAAGGCAGAAATAAAGTAACATCACGAGGAATATCATAAAAAAACTCTAGCCTTCTTTATGATACGTCTATGACGTAATGCATGAAAAGAATGTCACGAAACTCCAACTTACCTTGATCGTCACAGTCGACTCTGCCAAGTGCAACATTGCCATCCTTAAATTCCATCGCAACTCTGTTGCCGGTGGCGTTGAATACTGGGGCGAGGTCTCGACTAAACCGACACCACTCCGCGTAGAAATTAACGAGAGCGGTGTCATGCTTGTCCAGGAATTCTTTGAAATTGGCAGAGGTAAGATTGAAAACAGAAGCCTGCAGCGGGGCTGGGTTGAAAATCTAGAATGGAAAGGGACCAGATGTGAGTTAATGTCAAGAAGGTTAAACCGACTAATTTAAGCAGAGTACAGCACGTGACAAAATCTTAGGGGACACAGATAATTTACTGCAATTTTCAAGCAACTCTTCATTATGGATTAAATGTCACTACCACCGGTTTCTTAAATAAACTTAAGCAAATGAAGGACTATTCAGTGTTAGCAAATTGTCATCAGCAGATACTAGCAAATTACGCGCGAAACACCAGAAGTTACGGCTTGAAAAGCTTAATGCCAGACCTTATTTATTTTTAAGCGGCCACTGTAACAAGGGCTTTGACTAGTTTAGGAACTGGTGATGGATAGAATACGCCATGTATTTTCCTAATTTGAGTAACGGTTTAGTTCACAAAATATTGGCAGCAGTATAAATAAAATGGTATAGCAAAGGTTTTGACACAAGCGTTAGCAATCTCATTGGGAATCATGGTCGAGAAATTTTACACACCGACAAATATAATGCAGTAACTTGTGGATGAAACATTCTAACTGGAACCATTACTACGAATATAAACTTTAGCTGCCAATTCGGGAAAAGGAGTCAAAGTTTAACACAAAACACTGAATAATGGTACGAAATCAATATCCTAAATGTGTTTAAGATGCAAAAAGGCACTGCTATTGATCTTGTACAGCTTTAATACAACACATCATCAAAATTTAAGGGGGACGTAAAGAAATCAGTGACGTTGCAAAAAACCCCTTCCCTGTCCAGTTAACGACAAAAAATGTTTCGTGGACATTACTTTAAAGCAAGCAGTGAAGAGCCACTCTACACCTCAGGGCCAGCATTCACCTTCACCTAAATCATACAACGCTAACAGTAAAAGGTGGAGTGCTCGCATGCTACTGTTTTCACCAAGGACCGAACAGCGAGATTATTAGGTGCTAGTGCATTGCGTGACGTCTCCAAATTTTTTTCAATTTACAGCGTAAAAACTTGACTGCTACATTTGTTTTATACTTGGTTAAATTTCTGAAAATCATCCGCAAAAAAATAGTGCAATTTAACCAAAGATAACATTACCAATGCAATTACAAGAAGCGACCACAACCTCATAGCCAATCAACCAGTCGGGGAAGCCTCCTTGTACTTCGCGCTTTGTTACGTGAATTAAGACTACAAACTTAAACAGATTATTTACTTTAATAAAAACGACAAACCTTATAACAACAATCAATAGTAGTAATGAATGGTCTTAATTTTTAAAAATGTAAATTGCCCATGTTTAGTAAAAGTTTAAAAAATTTGTGTAAACTGTTTTAAGTTTTCTATCTAGTAAGAATGCACACATTTTTTCGTACCTCTTTATATACACTCCAGCATCAATGTGTTTTAATTATAATATTTATCGAAATTTACATCTATAGTTTTAGTTAAAACCAGTAATCATGGAGTAGGCCTACACCAACACATGTTCTTTCACCTGTGTCACAGATGTGCATATTTTTGAAAATGTACAGTAACACCCATGCATAATCTTTTTTTGTTTACCAAAATTACAGCTCCGTAATTTTTAGAACCACTTTTCAATTATGTGGCTTACACTGAATCGTTGATGCCTCTTTCGTAAAAACCCCGTTTTTGCTTAGCATTCGAACCAAATTCCGTAGTCTCACATTCCTGACAGTCCTTTGTATTGGGAAAATTAGCTACAACATTTATTATTGAATCAGCCTTACAAGTCTTTTTTGACATTGCAAATCCAAGCAAAATAACATTCTGACATAACAAAAGAGACTCAAGACATCCTTGGATTCACACCCTACGTATTACAGCAGTTCACTTAAATCCTTGCGGAATCGCCTCTTTTATTTCCTAATTTTAAACGTGCCGCGTGCTAGCATTGTTTTTAAATTTCTACATCAATGTTCAATCAGGAAAATACGCCAATCAATATTTCGGACAAAAGTTACGTCATAAACGCCTCCAACGCAAGTACTTTAACCAACTCAGATGATCACAATCCCCTTGGTAAGCCTGCACTGTTTTAAGCCAGATTTAGAATTAAACAAATACTTCTAAAGACCAAGAATGATAGTAACTTCAGGGACTGCAGTGATTCGTTTTTGCTCAGGTTTGTTGCCTTGCCTCTAGCAGGTAACGATTATAAAATTCGCCTTGACGGATGAGAGCTTAGGTCTCTACGCAAATATTTGTTGTTTCCTGAATCCAACTCTGCCAATCCTCGCCAAGACTTACAGTAAATACAATTTCGAAGAGAATATATTAGACAACCAAAGTTATTGTAATCAAAAAAGCTAGGTGTTTGGAAAATTGAGCAATTGAGCGAAATACACAGCCATTAGTTTGTTTTAAAAAAAAGTCAGACATTAATCATGAAGTATCGAGCAGTGAGATCCGCAATTTCGCTTATTCAGCCAGTTCGGACCGTACGGAAGCTGAAAGGAAACAAAACGAAAACAAAGGCATCAATGAAGCTTGTGGGAGGGCAGTCTGTAGTGGATGCAGGGATTGGCCATACCTCAGAAATCGCACCACAGGATGCAAAAATAAAAGCGGAATAAATAAGCCACAAAATTGGAAATGTGAAGACGAAACGCGCGTTGGCACTTCAAACTCACATTCACAATTAGCGATGATTGAACAAGGATAAATCACGCATTCGTGACTACACATGAGGATTTTTAAACATCGTCTTACCTCGGAAAAGCGTCCGCACTAGAGGGTGGAGTGAGTGTGACAATGGTTGGAAACGCTTTTTAACCCAGACGTCTTTAAGCTTCAGATAAAACATCATACAATTGACTTGAAGTCCCTTTAGAATACTCAAGTTAGAATGAATTCATCACTAGCAAATGGACTCCAAGAAGGAAAACCCCAATGTATCCGACGAAAAGGTGGATTTATTTGGGAAAAAACTTTGTCTTATTAAACAACTAAGGGTTTCCAGTATTCACCGGTGTGAGGTAAACGATTTACATATAAAACTGCGTGGTATGCCTGATCCAAGGAACTTCGATTTACGCACAAGGTTTGAGAATGTGAAAGAATCAAGCTGCCAAGCTGAAAGAACTCTGTGAGTGTACTTACCTCGCGGAGGTGCTGAGCATGCCAATGCCGGAGGTGTCGCTAACATTGACAGCGTAGCTTGCCGGACCGGACTCGGGCGTGGGGTGGGCCCGGTTGAGGACCTTCAGGAAGTCGCTCGTCTTGGCGCGCATGCGCATCTGCAGGTAGGCTTTCATGCACTTGATGTGGTAGTGCATATACGTGCGCATTGCGTGGATCAAGTCAATGGTTTTCGCCCTGTTCTTCACAGAGACGTGACGCGGCGAAAGAACTACAGTCGGTGGGGGAGGAATTGAAAGCAATGTAACTGTAAGTGCCTGAAACCTGGGCCCCAACACGACAGTCTTGTGGGCAAGTGTACGTGCCTGACAATCAGCATTTGGCTCAAATGCGATGACGGACCTGCCGAAAAGCACGACTCATGACAGGCGGAGCAACGCGATGACGACCATGCTAACATTCGCTTGATACAAAAACGCAACCACCGTAAAGACGCGGATTAGTCGATTAGGTAACATGCATGCGAACACCAGACTAACCTCAGTCGTTGGTGAGAACGTGACAAACGGCTGTTTAATAATTGGCAACATTAGGGTCGCGTTCATTCGGATCAAAGCAAGACCAGAGCAGTTGGAACCAGGAACTCACCGAAGGTGATGTAGGCGATGTTGTCCCCGGAGGCCGCATCGGTCCCACGAAGTTCCTTCGGAGGGTCGCGATGTTGGTAGATAACCTGTGGTGCTCCATCAAAGCGACGCTTGGCCTCAGAAAACTCCTTCAGGTATAAACAATATTTCCGTCATCCGAACAGTCTATTTACCACGAATGGGTGGGTAATAACCACATTTCTAAAAACGATAGTGGCCACTGATGGCTCCCTAAGTTCTCGAGCCATGACCAGATATTTCTACCAGTTTCATTGCTTTAAGTGGATGCAAAAAGTGATAATGCACCTCGTCTTTTTTTGTACACCAAAACTCCCGCCACTACGAACTAGAATATTCCGTAGACGCGTGAAAATTGGGCGACTAGTTTGGTGCACAGGACAGATAGCCATTGTTGACACAAACATTATCGCACAAATGAGTGCATTCACGCGTTGCTAAGTGACAACCAATTACTAATCGCTATTTAGGACACGTTGTTGATATCACTACACAAGGCCCTATAACCGGAGTTAGAATGGGTTGTCTAGACTAGAGTTGTCTGGCAGGGCGACCTAGATTCTGAGTGCCAGTTTAACCGATTTGCTCGGGCCTCAGACATAGAACAGAAGCAGACGCTGTGTATCAACTCAATTCAAACGAATGTGAAAAATCTAGACAGCGTCGCATAGTTCTCCAGCCATAAAAGCACATCGTTTTTTAGCTGAAAAGTAGCTACATTAAATACTCCATTTTCAATACGAACAAGACATTTTTTGTCTTCTGGGTATTCACATAGTGTAACAGCAGCTCTGAGACAGCTACTTTCGAAAACAACACGAGCGTAAACTGCATACATGGAACATATTTATCGATTGGACTATTATACTTGGAGACAATGGTAAAGACGCCAGTTTCCGCTTATTTCGAAGGTCAGCGAGTCTAAGAAACAAACAGGATGGACAGTTGATGAGGAAATTGCACTGACAGCAATCGCGCACCGATGAATGACAAAGGCTTGAAGTGTCTTCTACTGGGTTAGGATTGCGCCCAACTCAATAGCTGCAGTAGTCAGTAAAAATCCCAACCTAAATTTCCGTGATCTTAGGCTATATACGCTATTACGAAGGAAGAAAATGGCACCAAACCAGAGCTGGAGATGAGAGGATGCTAAGGTCTCGAAAAATTTACGATCAAGCTCCACTTAGGAGCAAATGTAGGCTACTTAAAAGTTTACCAGTAGACATTTGGTGTCTTAATGCTATAGCCAGAGAATAAATAGGATAGGAGGCTAGGGTAAAATACAATTATTTGTAACCAAAAACGCGGCTTTAATGGCACCACGGATGAGTGTTACACGCAATTTGCTGTAAAATATAATGAAGGCTCGAGCGCCAAGTTGGCCACTGAAATAGAGCATATGCTACAATAGAGCGTAGTAGTTAAAGTCGGCAACTACGTTTTCGCTGTTACAGATGATGGCAGTTAAATAGGACATTTAAAAAATGCAACCGATACGAAAATCTACATTGAAAAGTGTGGCCTACCTGCAAAAAGATTTTGCCCAGGACTATGTCTTCGGAGTCTTTGAAACGGGTGCTGAAGATCACCGTTACTCGATCAGGCATGGCCTGGACAAACCTGTTATTTAAATGAGGAATCTATGAATTCAAGGCAAGGGTTTTTTCGACGTTATTATTGCTAGCATTTGGCAATGTCAAGTGAGATTTGCTAACTCATGACGACACTACCCTGGGGCAATTTGACCACCCATCATGTGTCTTGAAGTCATTTAGCAACTTCCCATAACCTCAATTATTCTAAGTGATAAGCAATCTGATTTTCTTTTCTACAACTTACATCGTTTCATCTGAGCGGAAGTGAATGGTGCCCTGAAGGGTTTGGGCATTCGGCGTGGAAGCGTTAGCTATTTGATAGTCGAAAAAGTGCTCGAAGACGCTGGCGAAGCAATTGCGTCGTAGAGAAGCCGCTTTGATAGCAAGAGCCTCGATATCAGCTGGAAGATGGTTACAATCGAATTCGAGAGTCACGGAAGCCCCAGATTCTGCTTTAGGCCTCAGGTACTCTCCATATTCTCTCGCAAGTACCTTAAGTAATCAAACCCACTGGTAAGTCAGTATGCTTAATCAAAGAGAGGCTTCATTGGGTATTGAGTAGAATTGCGCAATTTAGGATTACAGTGGCGCGTGGTCTGGTAAAAGCTCTGGTAAGTATTAGTCATATCATTGTAGCTCTTTAACAGTATTTGCTCATTCATACATAACAAAAATACTCGGTGTTAAGTAAATACGATAGCTACAAACATTGGTTAGATTTATATGGATTAATTTAAGAGAAATGAGACAAATCAAAATAATTCAATACTTTTAGGCTCAATACATGCAAATTCAAACCACACAACATACCTTAGAGTCTCCAAACTTTTCAATTTCCTTGAAGAAACTCAGAGAGATGCTAACAGTGAGACGACTACTGCCAGCTTCTTGCGTGATGGTGTACAGAACTCCATCAAAGTCCGACACTTTAGCTAAAACGTCGCTCGGCTTCGGTGCGCTGTCAACGAGGAATATGAGCGTTAACAGGCTTCTCCATCAATTAAAAAGCAAAGACAAACTATGGTAAAATAAGCTATATGTTATCAAAAACATTGCCGAATTCGTTTTGATACAGATGTTGGTCACGGTTGGGGTTCACGAAAAAGAGCTGGAAGATTTATACTAAAAAAACGGTCTGGATATAGGGCAAAACATTAAATTTCGCAGAAACAAGCCTTTTACAGCAAAAATAAAAGCAAAAAAAATTGTCGGAACACGATTTATCGCTTAAATTAACTCTTGAAATTTATGAGAACTAATAGTTCTAAAACTCATTTTAAAAAACTAGCTCCCATAACACGACATTAACGCAGAACTAAAATTATTCATCATTAAATAACAAATAAGAAATGTCCTGATTAGTTAATATAACTATTCCCAACTTATAAAGTCAAGGTCAAGCTATTTAAGTTCCTGGTGGCTTACGTTGAAGGATTTTCTCCGTACTCCTTATAAGCTTGAAATTGAGATAGCACAGTATCTCTAACCGCTGTATGCAAAGGTTCAATGAGAATCATGGTTAATAATTAATTAAGGATTGGAAAACCGCGCACAACTTCCGCGTTACACAATAACTCAAATAGCCTCCAGATTACACAAGACGAAAAAACAAATCAAGCAACCGATTTGACTTATTTAATCCTAATTGTTCAAATCTATAATCATATATTAATGCTAATTTGCGTATTCTATAACATATATACCAGTAATTTTTTTCGCTAACATTGCTACACGTTTTACTATAAATCATAACTAAGATCCATTTTTAATTGGTATTAGATTACTTTTCATCACTTCAAAATATGTTTGAAATAAAATGCTTAAATCGCAATACGCTAAGTTTGCAGTTGCTAAAAGTTCCTTACATGAATAGATTTTATTACGCAGAAATCCTCAAAATTAATTAAAATATCGCAATTAGAGTGGATTAACCACCAAGCAAAATAGGTGCAAAGTGTGCGTCTCTGCGGTTTTCAGTTGCAGTCGCCATGGGCATTTACGATCTACCCAAGACTGAGAAATGATTTTGATCGTTCGAAGTGCTGGGAATCCTCAGTTAGCTTGTTGTATAGAGAAGAGCAAGGTGAATTCAAAATGATTACAGCAACATTTCTTGATCTGAAGAGGCATTGTTTGCTTGTTAGCACTACTTTTCACAATTTGGCAACTGTTCTCTACCATTTAAAATGTCAGTTACATATTAGATTGCATAGTTAGAATTCAAGCAAATAATTACGAGGCCGTTTACACATTAGGTGTAACTGTTGAGATAAGTTCCTTTTATTCAAAAAGTCACTTACATGCTAGATTTCTTAGTCAATATTTTAATTTGTAATTGCAAGACTGTTTGCTCAAAGGGTGTAACTGTTAAAACCGCATATTATATGAAATATTTTAAAACTACTTACTATGGTGTACACGCCACTAGTTTAATAAGCATCGATTCGTTTTTCGCAGGTTCACAAACAGAACGAAATGGCAGCTGGGAATTTTCTTTTTATTTTAACGATGTGTGGTTGTACGTAATTTAAACATAACAAACGTCAGTTGACATTACATGCACAAAAGCAAATAATTAAGGAAATTTAACATACTGAAGTGGCATTTCGTTAAGCACTCCTCACGGGCTAGACAAATTCAAAGTGATGTTTGAAGGACTCAATTTGGTTATAAACAAGGCAGAGAAGTATATCACGACAAATGTTGCATGCTTTGTGGGATGTAACGAAAAGTTCCAAACCGTCCATCCATCATGATCGAAAAAGTTGCAAATTTCTGGTCAGGTCACAGGAAATTGAGTTAAAACACTTCCTTGTTCTGTGTTTCTCACTATTTACATAATCAAGACTCTATAGACATTTGCGAAATTAAGCAAAACCGTGCAGTATAACGAAACAACTGCACTGGGGAAGGCATCACCAGAAATAGTAAGTAGTAAAGAGCGTTCAAACTGACGAATCTCTTGAAGCTTTGGCTACTAATGAGTTCGGGCCCATTTATGCAAGACGGTATGAGTGGACCTAAACGTGTTTTGAGGGAAATGTCTATACAGTCGCATTCAAGAAATTAACTTGAATTACACACTTGTAATCTCTTCAAAACAGTTAATGACCTAGAATTCCGATGTCGGCATTCCGTTTAAGTGCAATAATCGTAATTGTCTTACAAGTTATGCTTTAATCGGTGGATTACATTAGTGGATGCATGGTTCTTTTTGTTATTGAGTTTATGATCATTTGTCTTAGGCTATGGGCCAGTTGTACTTATGAATCTCGCCTCGTGCAAGGAATTTGCCCTACACTGTGAAATTGTTGGGGCTTTCGTCATGAGATTCACGAAGGCCGTTCATCACGACCTCAATTCTTTCTTTATTATGGTATTTCAAGATAATGCATGTCGCGATTTCCTGTGATGCAGAATCCTTGGACACTTCTTACAGGGTAAATCACTTAAGCAAACCACGATGCTTTCCATAACGTAATCTCTAATGCTATGAATTTAAAATCTTAGCCTTCTTAATTCTTTGTTATCCGATTTTGATGTCGTGCGATGCATAGAATCGTCAGTATTATTGTGGGTCAGGTAACACTTCGCGTTATCCATTATCCTTATAAGCTGCAAAAGTCAAAAACTGGCCGTTAGCTTTGGTCTTGTTTGCCTCCTTTATAAGGGTAACTTCGATTTTATTGAGAAATTTTACTTGGATTGAAAATGACTTCTTATTGTGTCCGCTTTTGTAATCCAGTAGATGGTAGTTTCAAGTCAGAAGTCGCAACCACTATCGTCAGAAGTATTATTTAACTGAGAATCAATTTGTCAACAAATATTGAAGATCATGAGCGCAGTTAATGGTGATGTGAGTCATAACGCCCAGTATTTGTCAACAAAAGGTAGACGGTCGCTGAACGACATCTTCACCCATAACACATAGCAAATGCTCTTTGTATTTGCAGGAAGCCAATTTGTTTCCTGAAAAGACGTTGTCAAGTGAAGGTTTTTGCTGTGGCAAGGTCGAGTTAGGCTATCCGAGCATAACAACGCTTCCTCAACTAATCGGCAATTGTGATTTTGCTTCCTTTGTGCACCGTCGCCTCAAATCAACTAGCAAATGTTAATTGCTAGTACCGGTCACCTACTTTCGATGAGTGCACTCCAACTTGTTAATTATTGAAATGTTGCCACGTGTTACATCCTGCTTAACAAGCCTAAAATTTGCTTTAAATTGTATTTGATTTCGCGATTTTCGCCCCTCCGAGCACTACTCAATCACGTGGCTTTGAAATACCTTGACGGTGTGTGTGTGTTGTTTTAAACAAGACCAGACCGAAAGCCCCAGTCTAGCATACAAAACGTCTTTGCACAAACTTTTGCAATTTGATTGAAGCCTGTAAAATGTAATTTTCTACTCCAGGCATCGGAAATGTGAAATTGGATGTTTAGGGTGATAACTTACTCCTAACTGGGTCGAATTTCGTCACAAATAAATGAAGCAGTCGTTTGCGGATCCCGAAAAATTTGTTTGATAAAGGTACTTTGGTCAAAAAGCCCTCAACACTGGTACTTATGCAAAATTATCTAGATTCAGTAGTGATTCTGAATACCATCAGTTCATAAATCGTCTTCTATTGAAGACTGGAAGTGTAACCAATTTACTCTGAATGACTTAAACTAAGGACATTGACATTATCGTTTGGTAAACCAAGCAAATACGAGTTATAAATTCGGTTTTTCCATTGGACATCTGTTTTTCTTATGCTCATATTCAACATCAACTGATTTCGAAAATAGTGGATTAAATAGCTTGGTTGGATTTGCGATTTGTAGGCAGAAACGAAAGTCTTTCAGCAACTTCAGGCAAGCAAACAGGTTACCATCAATCTCAGGCATTCGCGCATCATCTTTCCCCACCAAAATGTCGATCTTACAGTAGCTAATGGTTCACATATTCAATTTGGAACCTCCCAAAATCGAACTGCAAACAGCAAACCAATGACAAGAGTTGTGGTATCGTGGGTCAAGTATGGTGGTCTACACCTTGGGAGTTCTATTTCAGAAAAGCTTACTAAGAATCTGAATTTCTACGCTACATTGTGCTCGAAATCTTCCCTATAAATATATCGTGAAGATTTGGAACTTGAAAATTTGACAATAAGCCTTAGTAAGATCTTCAGGTGACCGCTCAGGGCAAACAAATTTCGACTGCTAATTTAGAAAGCTCTCTATCTGAATAGCTCTTTTGTTTTGCAAATTTATCACCTGTGGTTTCAAAAATCTGACAGCAAGAGGAAGTGTTAACTCTCCTATCATCATCATCATTCTCCCTTACAGGTGTGACTATGTTGCATTAATGTTTCACAGAACATTTACTGGAGAATTAAATTCCATACACCTTGGGAGATATGGAACAGGCCTATAGGCTGCTTTTAATAAATTAACATCAATTATCCTCGTATGCATGACAGTGCCCGCATGCTAAACACTTTATTCTGCCACAGATATTGGAACACATCCTCTTCCCACAGGTGGACCCGTCATTCTGATTAATTTCCACACCAGTCACAACCAAGATCAGCCTCTCCTTTCACAATGACAATAACGCGCGAACCAAGGCTCCAAACAAACCTGAATGTAGGCCGCCGTCACCAAAAAGATGCTCCAAAGTGCATCTTTTTCGCTCCAACATGCATCTTTTTCGCAACTCACCGGGCAAAGAATAGGCGAGTTAGACTACCCTCGTTTAAAGGCTTGGAGACTGCTGGAACAAATTTGAAAATAAAGGACGGCCTCGGTGCCATCCGTGCATCCAACTAAAAATCACTTCCTCAATTGTGGTGAGAATAGGAATGATCTTGTATTCATGGACTCCTTACTTAAATCAAACGTAAAACTGTTCCAGATAAAAAAAGAGCCATCTGACTCATAACTGTAAAACAGACATTAGTGTGCCATGCCTTCCACAACACCAATACATCATTAAAGCATGTTCTAGGAATTCAGATAATGCGTGGACACGGCTTCTAAACCTGCATCACACCATTGTATGCCTCATCCCAGGGTGCCAAGGCCACTACTAAGTACTTTCAACCAGAGCTTTCATTGCAATC